GACCGGGTACAAAACTGCAAAATGTTAAGGAAATGATTTGACATTTGGGTAGAATCTAGATGTAACTGGCATAAATTTTAACACTGCTGGCAATTATTGGCTCCTATCTTTTTCCTTTAGGCCTGTTTGATATGGGCCTAGCTGTGATCTTTGGTGGATCGCTTTATCAGCAGCACCTGGCCCATGGTTAGCAAACTATCTTTTGCCTCCCGCACACTTGTTTGAAGAGGGATTGGACATGGTTGTACTGTGCTCCAATTTACCCCTATTGGGCACAGTGTCTGGCAAACCGTGACATGCCCAAATTTTTTATATATATATCTAATTTTTATTTTTATACAGTACATGGTTTTTTTTTATACCCTTTTTCAGCCTTTTGAAAATTCCATCATGCCCTATGATCCTTGTCCATTGCCATGTTAGTCTTCAGAACCTACTTTTGTCTACAGAAATCTTTGATTAGTGCAACATTCCATAGTGGGTTTCTTCACCCAAGGAGGTGAGGAGCAAAACGCTAAGTAAAAGTGAAGTAGACTTTGGTAATTCACTTCACAGAATTCTAACAAGATAATGAAGATTCTTCATTTGTTTTCTCTAGGTTCTGCACTTTAGTCTGACTTCCACTGGGTCTGGCAGATGGTATACTGTGCAGCATGAGTGATTAGATTGTGGACAAAGGGGAGTCGCAGTGGTACAGATGGGGAGATGGTGAAGTGAATGAAAGGTGGGCAAAAGGTGGACATTATGAAATGGAAAGTGGTTTAGACAAGTGGAAAGTTAGGTTAGCAGGATGAGGAAGAATGAGTCAGAAGGAGGTGTGAAGAGAATGCAGTTAAAATTGGGCAGCTTAGATATGAAGGTGTACAGATAAACTCTAGAATAGTATGGAGGCTGCCTAGACATTGGGGTGAACGTTATGTAGAAACTGGCATAGAACATGAAAAAATGTTATATGACAGACAGTTTGCACTTAGAAGGTTAGTGTGCCAAACCAGAACTGCTGAGTCTGAATTAAGTGTTGCAAATAGGCAGTTTGATGAAGCAAAAAGACTATTCATCAAGCCTTTTGAGCTTTGGCAATTGACATGATACTCTACAAAGCCTACTTTTATCTACAGAAACATTTGAGTAATGCATTATTCCATTTTGGGCTTTATCAGCTAAGGATGCAAGCAGTAATATGCCAAGTACGTACTTCAGTAACCCATAGTAATAAACTTTGCTGAACTCTAACTAGTAAAAGAGGAATTCTGATTTGTTTCTTAAGGTTGTGTACTTTCCTCCTAGCTGTTTGGTCCCTGTGCTATTTTAGCCCATGTTTTTATGATTCTTGGGAACAATGAATATACTTTTTTCAAAGATATTCCAGGAGCACATAGAAGTGCTGCAATGACTTGGTGAAGTTATTTATCCTTTATTATTCCTCAGTTGTTGACCTTGTTCTGTTATCTTCATACATATTCACATGTTTACATCTATATTCATCCATGACCAACTTGAGGATAAAGTCCAATAAACTGTTTGTTTTCCTCTAGAAAACTGATCTTATTTCCTTCAAATGATTTCATCTTTTAATATTTCCTTTTATAATATGTACTAAACTTCTGTGTGTTTATATACATATTTATGAGCTAAATCGTTAATAACCGCATAAGAAATATACCAATTTTTTCCTGTTCAAATTAGATAGGAAACGTGCAGCGTTATCTAATGAAAAGTGTCGTTCACCATATTCCAGGTGCATAATTTGACATGGATGATTTATATTCAAACATAACAAAAAAAGTCTTATTGCAAGAATGCGAATTTCTCTAGAAAAAAAAAATCAATAGACGCTACATGTGTTTTTGCTATGGCAACTATCCACAAGCCTGTGTAAAATTGGATGTGACAGGTAGGCATTGAGACGTGAAGCACAGTTACAGGCTACGTGTCGGAGAAGTGACACGCGTTTTATATATATTGTTTATTCCGGACAGATAGTTTTGTGTTTCACCTTGCCTTTTTTGCTGTTTGACCTTGTGATGGAGATTCAATTTAATGGTGTTTTAAAGCTGTAAATGAAAACGTGTTTTAAACAAAAGTATATCTAAACCCCAAACCAAAAATGTGATATATGTAGCTTATTCGTTTTTAGATGTGGTGGTTGCATTTGTTTTTCTTTTTTTTTTTAGGCCTTTTTTCTTTATTTTAACCTGGTGATCTAGGGAATAACACTTTCTGTCCCTTCATGTCTATTTTTTTTTATCCGTTGTGGGGATGGGGGCAGCCATGGGTGGCTGGACTTCAAACATGTCTGCCTTTGCTCATCCCCATTACACGGTGGACTGGTGGGACTAGAAGTTTACACAATAAAGGTTTTTTGTGTTTTCCTTCTTAGCTCACAGGAAGTGACAAGGACACTGAATTTTTGAGAAGATCACGTATTTTCTGTACTTGTTAAAAAATATTTTTAGCCCAAGATCTACAGCCTCCACCGCTAAGAATGTAATCCTTGCCTAGGTGGGAAATAGACGTGGGAGCAAGTATGTGCTTAAAAGGGTACTTGCTGCCCCTCAAAAATACAAATATGTAATGGGGAGGGGTATGACTATGTAATGTCTTAAATGTGAGGTCCACTCTAGGTCATCAGACTGGACATGTTGTCCACATACAGACTGGTACTTCCTTAGCTCAGACACAATGTTCTGTTGTGATGTGGACTACCTGTGACCTTGCACAATTCCAACTCTCAGTTGTCTGTCTGTCTGGCTCAGTGGCTTGTCTGTGTAGGGCAGACTGGCCTTGACACATGCTTCCTATGGCCAATACAAATGCTATAAGGTCTCTGGCATATGTTCTCCTGGAATCCTAGGAACTTTCCCTAATATGTAGCTTCTGATTATCTGACCCAAGTATGTACATTGCTTAGCTATTAGAATGATATTGTTGTTATCGTGTCTTTGCTTGCTTACTTCTCTTTGCACTTTTAAGCTGGCCATACACCCAGGGGCAAACAAGGCATTTGCCTTGGGCGGAATTTTGCAGGGTAGGGGGCGGCGCCACCCCCAGAACAAAGGCCGCTGGTTCTCCTTCTCACCAGGGCTGAGCAGCAGAGCGGACTGAAGGGAGCGCCACCCCCCTCCCTAAGGACAGCCGCTGTTTCTCCTGGGCAGCAGAGTGGAGTGAAGGGAGCGCCGCCCCCTATACTCCTCCCCCCACCCCCATGAACAGCCGCTGGTTCTCCTGGGCAGAAGAGTGGAGTGAAGGGAGCGCCGCCCCCTATACTCCTCCCCCCACCCCCATGAACAGCCGCTGGTTCTAATGGGCAGAAGAGTGGAGTGAGGATAACCAATTGAGCAGCTGTGAAACTCCGGGAACAGAACCACTGTGATGGTAAGTCTCTCTCCGGGGAAAAAAGGGAGAGGTGGAGTCGCAGGGGCCGTGGTGTGCAGTTGGGTCGCAGGTGGGGGGGGGGGGGGGGGGGCTGGTGGGCAGCAGCGAGGGGTCAGAGGCGGCAGATTTTTTTGTGTTGCCTAGGGCAGCACAAATTCTAATTAGACTCCTGCATACACTGATTGAATTTTGGCAAGTCCATTGCTGATCAACAGAAATTGATTATTTAATGTAGTACTAAGTAAAGTCTGATTTATTTTACTTGTACCTGCTGGTAAGCCTATAATAAGGCTTACCTATAAGTACAGTAAATATCTCCTAAACGTGTACCGTTTAGGCAATATTTTCTTTAGTAGCAGCCTGTGACATTACCAGCACATGCACACTGCGCTCTCAGTGGATGGCACGCTGTCCATTGAGAGAGCTATGCCGCAGAGCATATGCAGGAGTGGTGTCACTGCAGCTTGGCCATTCAAACATCCGAAGCCCACAAACCCAGAAGGGTTCAGAATCCCTGTCAGCAGTGACCGCATGCAACTGGAGGGATTTGTCATAAGGTAAGTCTGTCATCATGTGCCAGTATGTGATCTATAATAGCACAATATATTTTTTTGTTTTTGCAGTCTACTACTGCTTTTAATGAACTTTTATTGAGGGGATATGTTGGAAACTTTTCCAACATACAGCAGCTGCAGCCACTGATCAGTGTTTTCTGACAGCAGCAGGTGCCACTGTCAGAATACAATGTCCTGGCGGGGGATTCCTCTATCCACCTCTTGTGTGGATGTAGGAATCTGTTAGTTTTTGTGTTCAGCCATTGGGCTGAAAGCAAAAAAGAACTATGTATGGCCACCCTTACTTTTGTAAAACCTATCCAACAGAACCTTTAACTCTATCATCCACCATCAAATAATGTAATATTTGAGGAAATATGAAGCTGAAGTCAATATAGATAGGAGAAAGTTTCATTAATGAAGAATTCCAGGCATCTGTATGTTATACATAGTTACATTAGTCCAACTTGAACCAATGTAACTATGTATAGAACATACCTAGCTGATGCCCCTGGAAGCTGGACATCCTTGAAATAGTCACTGTTGCTTCAGTGATCTCCACCTTCTTGCAGGTCTCATGCCGAGTAGCTGCACCTGTTTGCTGAACACTGAAGGTCATTTGCTCAGCACAGATACCATTCAGAGAATGCTTTGCAGTTGTTGAATGAATGCAAAGCATTCTCTGATTGGATGAGATGGAGAGGTTGGACAGGGATGTCACACTCTACCTTGACCAAACAGGGAATGCATTCCGAGCGGCTGACCTACTCTGTTCACAAGGCAGGAGAACAACCGCTAAGGGTGGGACACAGAGGCAAGTTGAGATCACTAGTGTAGCAGTGTCTACTTCAGTGATTTCCAACTTCCAGGAGCATCGGCCAGTTGTGGTATATGCATAGTAATATTGGTTCAAGCTGGACCAGTGTAACTATGTACATAACATGCCGATGCCTGGCATGTTATTCTTTACATATCTTATACATATATTCTCTTTTGTGGATGTTAGAACTACTTATTATTTTTTGTAAGGTTGTATGCATTATGAAATGTCACATGTGTGTCCTCCCACAGCTTGAAGACAATGAGAAGACCTTCACAGAGCCCTCTAATAATGGACTGACAAAGTCAGCTGACATCAACCAAGAGCAGAGAAAGAGGAAGGAGCCAGATGTGCCAGCCCCACCAGAAAAGTACAGACTAAGTAAGCATTTCAAATTAAAAGGTCAGTAGCTGGAAACCAAACTAGTGGCATATAGCCTATCTATTGTGCCAATTAAAGCAGAACTTTACTCAGCTCCCTTCCAGCAATGCAACATCCCCAACCTCCCATGCCAGCGCCAGGATCTTTGTTTTGGACAACTTCTGTGTTTGGAAACTTTAGTTATCCTACCTGGCCATGCTGGGATGGTGTAACTCTTGCGCATGCACGGAGGGTTCATTTATGCCAGTAGCTGGCAGATGCCTGAGCTGAGAGCTGTACATTTTCAAGAAGATTGCAAATGGGCAAGTGAGAATCCTTTATTGAAGAAGAGAAAATTTGTGTTCTGAAATAAAAGCCCTCCCTGTTCTCACATATTCAATTTTTATGTAAAGTTTAACAAAATTTCGTTCCAAATTTGCAGCTTTCATTTGCACCCTAACCCCAAAAACGTTGGGACGATGAGTAAAATCTACATAAAAACAGAATTCAATGATTTGCAAATCACATTAACCCATGTTTTATTGACAATAGAAACTAGAAAACCTATCAAAAGTTTAAACTGAGAAAATGTACCATTTCAAGAAAAAAAGGTAATTTTGAAATTGATGGCAGCAACACCTCTCAAAAAAGTTGGGTCATGGCCATGTTTACCATGGTGTAGTATCCCCTCTTCTTTTAAAGCACTCTGTAAATGTCTGGGAACTGAGGAGACCAGTTGCTTGCGTTTTGGGGGAGGAATATTGTCCCATTCTTGCCCTTAGTTTTCTAACTGCTTAACTGGGTCTTTTTGTCATATTTATTTTATTTATTTTTTTTTTTTTTAAACATCCGCCAATATTGTCAGTTGGTGAAAGGTCTGGACTGCAGGCAGGCCGGTTAAGCTCCTGGGCTTTTCTACTATGAAGCCATGCTGTTGTCATAGCTTCCACACTGCTTCACATTGCTGTGGCCATTGCTATTAGCACCTGGCATTTTATTCATAATTAAAGATGAGTTTGGGCAGAATGGGGGTCAGATCACGTGAGCATTGGAGTACAGGAAAGCAGTAGTTTAGGTTAGAGATTTTGGAGGACGCCCAAGCTCATCTCTATTCATGATTTTCTTTTACCACATTCTTTCTCACGGATCTCTGTCTCTTGTGGGTTTGACGCCTGCAATTGTAGCAGTCTGTTTATGTTTAGTCCTATCATCTGAGCTCTCATCTCCAGATCCAAGTAATGAACGGTTGTATAATAACCAGCAGAATTGCTATTTATTATCTTTTGCAAGCATACCTGTCATCATGAAAATATTTACCATGAAATCTTCATCCTTGTAAATCCTGTATTAGGATAGTAACTCCCATACTGACCTTTATTCCTTTATTCATTACAGGTACTTATATAGTGCAATCAAAAGCAGCGCTTTTTGGTATTTATTATATATTCACATCAGTCCCTAACCCTCAATCTAAGGTCCCTAACTCACATTCATACATACACATACTAGGGCCATTTTAGACCGGATCCATTTAACCTACTATGTCTTTGGAGTGTGGGAGGAAACTGGAGTACCCAGAGGAAACCCACGCAGGCACAGTGAGAACATGCAAACTCCAGGCAGGTGGTGCCGTGGCGGGGATTTGAACCAACGACCCGAGTACTGCCAGGTGGAAGTGCTAACCATTTAGCAACTCTGCTGCCCGGTACAGCTGACCTTTTTATTGTCACCCTTTTTTACTTTTTATGAGGTGCCAAGATGACAGCAATTACACTAAAATTCACATTAAAATCTAGAGGCATTAAGATATCAGTGATGCATTTTGGGAAATGTCGGTACTATTGAGCAGAATTCCCTTAAAGCACAATGAGTCTTAATGTTCGTGTATTTGGCAGCTTTGCGGTTATTCAGTCTGGATAAGGAAGTTACGGAAGTTAAACTGCATGTGAGCATTGATGGTTAATCAAGAGTCAGTGGTGCATGCCGGGAAATGTTTGCATTGACCTATAAAATTACCAATACTCTGAATATGATTATTGCCAGTAAATCAACTGCTCGTATTCTCCTTAATACTAAAAAATAGTTGCCTAAGTGATGACAGATGTGTATGAGAAAGTTGAATATATGAATGCTTTAAAGTCCATTTAAATCCCTATTTTTTCTGTTGTGCAGCCAGAATAAATACAGGGTTATATTTCTTTTTACCTACACTGCTGCATCTTGCAGGGCTAAAATACTCTGTGCTTCCAGCACATAGGTGAGTAGGACCATGTACATTTAAGACCTGGTCTTAGTGCAGCTAGCACAGGGTATTTAAACTCTTGCTGCAGGACTCCGCATTGGAAAAAAAAAAGTAAGAGCCCCATATTCTAAGAACATCTAGATTCTATTTAGCCTGTAAAATGAAAGACGTCAATACTTATCTATTCTGAAGTAACTCTGGTTCGGTCACAGGATCTTTCCAGCACCGGCTTTAGGAGAGATCACTGCTGACGGCTGCAGAGCCAGGGCATTGACGTCACCCATAGGCTTACTATAGAGCATCTGCTGTAAGCTGTATCTTCTCTTCACTGAAGTCGGTGCTGGAACCTTCTGGATCTTGTGATTGGACTGGAGTGCCCTTAGAACAGTATAAGCGTATTGAGGAGGTGGTTAGGAAGCAATCAGGAAAGACAAAATATAAGCAGTAACCAATCAAAATTTCCCCTGATGAAGTCTTACCAGTGCCAGATGAATTGTATTGATTTCTGTATGCTTCTGCATCAATCTTGGCCAGATTGATCACAGGTGATATGAAGCACCAGTACTTCTTATTCTCAGTAATAAACCAGTAGAGCGGTAAATTGGGAGAATCATATATGTGATTCTAAGACTTCCAATTTCTTTTCAGATCAGGAAGAAGATGGTTCTCAGAAAATCTGCCCCTTTTCATCTCTAAAAGACCTGCTGAGCCTTTCTGATGTGGAATGTTCCCTTTGTATTCGGTGAGCTGTGATGGATACATTCATGATCAATTTATTTAAAAAACACAAGGTAGAGTGCAGTGATTGGTGTGGTTTTTTTTTTTTTTGTTTTTTTTTTTAGTGCTTTTTTGCAGAAACTCACTACAGTCCATTTAACCTGGTTTCCTATGGAACATGTTCACATCTATGCTTTTTTGAGCTGCTGCATTTTTGGAAAGGGTCAGGGACTTTATTGTAGCAAAAATGCTGCTTTTTTTGCTTTAAAAAGAGTTCAATAGAAAAGCTTTTCAAATCCATGGTAGTGCGTTTTTGCCATGTTTTTTGCATTTTTATTCTTCCCAGCAACAAAAAAAACAGTTGAACAAAATGCATCAAAAATACATGTACAAAAATGCAAAACAACCTTCGAAAAGCACTGCAAAATGGACAAAAAGCAAACTGCATAGGTGTAAACGGAGCCTAAGATTTGGACAGAGCAGTGAGGGGTTAGAACCCCTGTCATATTTTTTATTGCTGTGTTCCTGTTAGGAAGATTCATTCCCTCTGTCTGTCCTGATCACCAGTGTCATCAGAAAAAACAGGAACATGTGGCAATGCACGTAATGTGTTTTTCAGTGCCATTCAGTATGAATGGAACCCCAAAGTACTAAAACAATACACCTGTGTTGCAGTGCACTGAAATACTCAGTGTATGCTGCATTAGAAAAAAGGGTCATGTGCCTTTTTAACGCCATTGCGCAGACAGTATGCATTTATGTGGCCACTCGATGGGTGAGCCTTGACGCAGAGAGGCCACATATATGTGTACCAAAATGTAAACAAACCTGTGCCAAGAGTGGGCGCCTTGCTCTCTCTCAGCACAGTTACTGGTGCCAACAGAAATCTCCCTATCACTACTTGCGGGAGCTTTCTGATCATGTGACTGCTATGACAGTCAGTCAGTAGGTCACATGATCATAGGTCCTGGCATCAGAAACCTCTTAAAAGGCTGGGAAGCGCCGGCGTTAAGGGGTTAAGCATGGTGGGGGTGCGTCAACAACCATTTTTTTCATGGGCTGCCTTAACCCAACACATATAAATGGGTGAAATAACGCGTGTTAATTTGCATTTTGTTAACATTGTGTACATTGGCCCTAAAATCCTTGAGAAAGGCATGGCAGGAATCAGAACTTCCTGTAAATGCCTTGTTTAGTATTAGTGTGAATTGGGCTATAGGGTGGAACCTGCAGCCTGTATGTACATTGGGCATACAAAAGGATCTTTTAGCAATCAGATTTTTTTCCTAGTAAACTTTCATCCTGTAATATCTGTGGACAGTTCTACACAGTAGATCATGGCAAAATCTAATTAATTCTGTAACACAAGTGGCAAAGCAAAGGGATGCCTTATGTAGAGAGAAATGAAGGTTGTTATTGTCAATTACCAAGCAGATGATCTGGGCTTCTCTCCAAATAAGCACTCCAGGTTTCAAAAAGATTAAAAGAGCAAATATCGGGCCTGTCATGTCCCAGGCAATAATGAGCTGATTCTGCTGAGTTTAGAAATGATCTAGTCAAACAGAATCCATTGTAATTTTCATGTTTATAAATATGTGATTTGTCTAAAGAAAGAAAACAATAAAAAAACAACTTTACAAACATGAATTCAATAAATATAAAAGAAAACAATTTTAACATTTAACCCCAGCCAAATCTGTTTTAAGTAAAGTGGCAAAGCGTTAGAACCTCAGATATTTTTTTTTTCTATTTGTTTCCACTGGGGGGATTTCTCTAAACTTCCTGTTCCACTGTTACATGGACAAAAGATTAGAGACCTCTCTAACAGAGGCAAACAAGAGATGGTAATTTATTTTTTTAGGAAAGTAGAATCCCTGGCAGATTTTTTTTATTTTTTTCATAATAAAATTTAATTGAAGAAGGAAGACATTACATACAGAATAATAAGTACACTTTTTCAGATCTCCATCAAGTAGGGTGCGACTGAACAGCAATAAATATATACAGTCAGGTCCATAAATATTGGGACATGTACACAATTCTAACAGTTTTGGCTCTATACACCACCACAATGGATTTGAAATGAAACAAACAAGATGTGCTTTAACTGCAGACTGTCAGCTTTAATTTGAGGGTATTTACATCCAAATCAGGTGAACGGTGTAGGAATTAAAACAGTTTGCATATGTGCCTCCCACTTGTTAAGTGACCAAAAGTAATGGGACAATTGGCTTCTCAGCTGTTCCATGGCCAGGTGTGTGTTATTTCCTCATTATCCCAATTACAATGAGCAGATAAAAGTTCCAGAGTTCATTTCAAGTGTGCTTTTTGCATTTGGAATCTGTTGCTGTCAACTCTCAAGATGAGATCCAAAGAGCTGTCACTATCAGTGAAGCAAGCCATCATTAGGCTGAAAAAAACAAAACAAACCCATCAGAGAGATAGAAAAAACATTAGTCATGGCTAAAACAACTGTTTGGAACATTCTTAAAAAGAAGTAACGCACCAGTGAGCTCAGCAACACCAAATGACCCGGAAGACCATGGAAAACAACTGTGGTGGATGACCGAAGAATTATTTCCCTGGTGAAGAAAACACCCTTCACAACAGTTGGCCAGATCAAGAACACTCTCCAGGAGGTAGGTGTATGTGTGTCAAAGTCAACAATCAAGAGGAAACTTCACCAGAGTGAATACAGAGGGTTCACCACAAGATGTAAACCATTGGTGAGCCTCAAAAACAGGAAGGCCAGATTAGAGTTTGCCAGACGACATCTAAAAAAGCCTTCACAGTTCTGGAACAACATCCTATGGACAGATGAGACCAAGATCAACTTGTACCAGAGTGATGGGAAGAGAAGAGTATGGAGAAGGAAAGGAACTGCTCATGATCCTAAGCATACCACCTCATCAGTGAAGCATGGTGGTGGTAGTGTCATGGCGTGGGCATGTATGGCTGCCAATGGAACTGGTTCTCTTGTATTTATTGATGATGTGACTGCTGACAAAAGCAGCAGGATGAATTCTGAAGTGTTTCGGGCAATATTATCTGCTCATATTCAGCCAAATTCTTCAGAACTCACTGGACGCCGCTTCACAGTGCAGATGGACAATGACCCAAAGCAGACTGCAAAAGCAACCAAAGAGTTTAAGGGAAAGAAGTGGAATGTTATGCAATGGCCAAGTCAATCACCTGACCTGAATCCGATTGAGCATGCATTTCACTTGCTGAAGACAAAACTGAAGGGAAATGCCGCAAGAACAAGCAGGAACTGAAGACAGTTGCAGTAGAGGCCTGGTAGAGCATCACCAGGCATGAAACCCAGCGTCTGGTGATGTCTATACGTTCCAGACTTCAGGCTGTAATTGACTGCAAAGGATTTGCAACCAAGTATTAAAAAGTGAAAGTTTGATTTATGATTATTATTCTGTCCCATTACTTTTGGTCCCTTAACAAGTGGGAGGCACATATGCAAACTGTTGTAAATCCTACACCGTTCACCTGATTTGGATGTAAATACCCTCAAATTAAAGCTGACAGTCTGCAGTTAAAGCACATCTTGATTGTTTCATTTCAAATCCATTGTGGTGGTGTATAGAGCCAAAAATGTTAGAATTGTGTCGATGTCCCAATATTTATGGACCTGACTGTACTTTAGGCAACAAAGCCTATGTCAAAGAAACAGTACATACCGGATGACATAATATCTGATCGCACAGAATGAAGGCAGTTTCAGTATGTAAGATTCCTCAGGTTTCAGCTCGCAACCCAAGTTTGTGTGTGTCTACTGGATTTTCTACCAGCTAGCTTATACAAAGAGAAGGTACAATGTATTCCCATAGTAAGGATATTACCAATTGTAAAAATAGGAGCTAAGTAGGATTACGTATCCTTATATTAATACAATCCTCTTTTCCATATTACAAAAGCCCTGGGATATAGCATCTAAAGAGAACTACCGTATTTGCCGGCGTATAAGACGACTGGGCGTATAAGACGACCCCCCTACTTTTCCTGCTAAAATGTAGTGTTTGGGCTATACTCGCCGTATAAGACTACCCCTCTTCCAATGCACACCAGTGGGAGGAATAGTGCCCCATCATTGATGTCAGTGGGAGGAATAGTGCCCCATCATTGATGTCAGTGGGAGGAATAGTGCCCCATCATTGGTATTAGTGGCAGGAATAGTGCCCCATCATTGGCATTAGTGGCAGGAATAGTGCCCTATCATTAGTATCAGTGGAGGAATAGTGCTCCATCATTGGTGTCAGTGGGAGGAACAGTGCCCCATCATTGGTGTCAGTGGGAGGAATAGTGCCCCATCATTGGTATCAGTGGCAGGAATAGTGCCCCATCATTGGTATCAGTGGGAGGAATAGTGCCCCATCATTGGTATCAGTGGGGGGAATAGGTGCCCCATCATTGGTATCAGTGGCAGGAATGGTGCCCCATCATTGGTATCAGTGGCAGGAATGGTGCCCCATCATTGGTGTCAGTGGCGGGTGGAATAGTGCCCCATCGTTGGTGTCAGTGGGGGGGGGGAATAGTGCCCCATCATTGGTGTCAGTGGGAGGAATAGTGCCCCATCGTTGGTGTCAGTGGGAGGAATAGTGCCCCATCATTGGTATCAGTGACACCAATGATGGGGCACTATTCCTCCCACTGAGACTTGCTGACCCTGTTCTCGTATGGTGCTGCTGCAGCCAGCATATGTGGTTGCAGCAGCACCTCTACACAGAACACTTACCTGCTGCTCCGTACTCAATTTTCGCGGGGCCGCTCGGCTCCGCCCCCTCGCCGGTGATTGGCCGCCTGTGTGCCTTTCCTGAGCTACAGTTCTGGCGGCCAATCACCGGTGAGGAGGCGGAGCCGAGCAGCCGCACGAACATCCAGTGGCCGAACTGAAGGAGACGCCGCGCTTCCTGGACCGGATCGTCGTGGGACTGGATCCAGGTAAGAGACATCAGCCCCTGCAAACCCCTGTACTTAATGCCGCAGCCCCCCTAAACATGTGTACCGGCGTAT